TTTTAATCGAGATTCGTGAATATGAATATGTAGTCGATTTCGTTTCTCTATTCTTCTATATATTTTATATATACATATAAAATATTTTATACAGAAAATATTATATTAGGTCTACCGGAAAGTTCTGTCCGTTTTTGGAATAAAACAAAATACAAATTTTTATTACCGTCAATAAACTTTATTAAATAATGTAATTGCCATTATTATTAATGATTTCTTGCCAGCGTGAGGGCAATTTGTATATCCCTTTTTCGAAAAATGTTTTATCTTTTGATGCGAAAAATTGAACCAGTGTTTGTTTGATATCTTCTTCATTTTTGAATTTTTTGCCCCTCAAAAAATTTTGTAAGGACAAAAACAAGTGATAGTCGGAGGGTGCTAAGTCCGGGGAATATGGTGGATGCGACAGAATTTCCCAGCTTAGTTCTGCAATTTTTTGACGAGTCTCCAAAGCAGCATGTGGCCTGGCATTATCATGATGCGGTATGATGTTCTTCCTATTGAACATCGCCGGCCTCTTTTCTTGGACTGCTGTATTTAAATTATCCAGTTGCTGACAATACTTCTCCGAATAATGGCAATTACATTATTTAATAAAGTTTATTGACGGTAATAAAAATTTGTATTTTGTTTTATTCCAAAAACGGACAAAACTTTCCGGTAGACCTAATATATACTTTTGTGTAATAAATTCCAAGATAAAGCACAAACAGCACTAATTAATTAATTCATATTTATCTATAGAGAAATAAATCTTAAAAAATTATGATAAATATTTCATTTCTTCTAATTTCAAAAACTATATTTGAAAATAAATCTATTAATATTTATAAATAATAATAAATTAAATTAAATATTTCAATAATACTACTGATTTATAATTTATCTCTCTTTATGACCGATTTACTGTTAATCTTATATTACAATCGCACGATTAATTATAAATAAAGAAAACTTTAGCGAGCGCTCTTGTACGTCGCCTTTCTGACAGCAGCCAAGAATAGAGAAGGAACATGACAGCGAACAGAGTCAACATCGAAAATTAATCTCTCGCAAAAGGACGAGAGCTACATGTCGCTCATCTACGAAGGGGTTAAATAAATCTTATCCGTTCCTTATATAGACGATAGCCGACCGCTCCCATCGCGCGCGAGGAAAGACAATTTCGCGCTGGTTTCGCGCATTTGGTCGACATATAGAAAGTGGAATAAATCGATGAACTCTCAGGTGGCTAAGCACATCGTGACCTGCCGGCACAGTCGGCTTTTGCGGTCGCTACTTCGCCATCGTCATCTCTCGGGGACTTTCTTATCGAGGGGAGGGCTTTTCTTCTTTTCTTCTCTCCTCGACAACGGGAACGGCTCGAGTGCACTCGTTCATTCGAGGCTATGCGTTTATTATCGCCTTTCACCGCGACTTTGACGATCGGTATGTCATACCTGTTGTCGTAGATTTTCTAATACGACTTACGAGAATGTATTTATGCACGAATAACGAAACGTGGTTGCGTGAGAATGCGAGCCCGAGCCATTTCAAGTTCTATCTCTCACGCTTTTTCTGATCTGAACTCACTGATTCTCTCACGGACCGATTTTCTCCTCTTCGATGTAGCCAGTTGGATCCCATGCGAGGAAGATCAAGCACAAATGCTTCTCTTTGCTCTTTATTTATCAAAACGATCGCAAAAGCTCATGATTTGTTTAGAACTTTAGGAGAAAGCAGCGAGTTGGGTATATGCGCGTAATGAGAATAAGTATTGTAGGAGAAAATATTAGAGAAATTGCATTCGCCTATGCGTATGCATTCTGCGTACGGACGCATCGCCAGATTCGAATAGAAAGCCGAATCCATGTCGTTGTATACTATGTGTTATACGTAATCTTAGATTATTGTCTCGCGGCTCGACAATCGGGACGATTAATCGCCGTCTTTGTAAGGGAGGTTATCGACGAAACGAACATTGGTACAAATCGTACCCGACGACCCTTGACCCCATAACTTACAACATCACACCCATTATCGCGTCAGAACGATAAGCCGTGATGCTCCACCGTAATTTATTACGAAAATGTTTTTCTCGTCCGGTCGCGAAAGCCGCAATCAATGGCGATCCAATCGTCCCCGTCGACAAAGGAAAACGCATTTATTAATTATATAATACTTCCGTTTCACTCCCGCGCGTTTATTCATCAAAAGGTTGTGACATGAAAGATTTCATGTAATATAATATACATACAATAGAAAATAAATTATTAAAATACAAAATTTGATAGAAGAAACAATGTTTATATTAAAATATTGTTTTTCTTCAAACAACAATGTATAATAAAAATAACACAAAATCTATTATAAAATAAATTTGTTATATAATAATAATTTCTTTGTAATGTATAAATATTCAGAACTGTCCCATATAAATTTTTTAAAAATGTTTCAAATATATCGGATGTTATTTTCATCATTTCGATATGATTTAAAACGGATTTTTTTTCCACGAGAAAATGTCACGTCGATTATTATTTTTGTATAATTAAAAGATCACACGTACATACACACTCTCATTCTATGCGGTTTCAGAACACATTATGTATAATAACTATGTTTTGATCGATAATACTGAAATTTTCACAGCGACGTATGCATTATAAAATGTGAGATTACGACATGCATATCCATTTTGCACGATTGCGAAACGGAAAATCATTTTTCCGCGCAATTAAAACAAGTACGTGAATTATTAATATAATGCAATTTTATTACGCAAAACCTGCCCTTCGTACCGTGCTCGCGGATGTGACCTACTAAGATAACGATATGTAACTCCGAGACGTATGCTACATCTGTGCTCAGTTCTACCTTGCTTCTCCGACCCCATTAATTAAGATTCAAGCGACATATCACGCTGTCGTGATTATTGATTAATCACCCGTATGGCGCATCGTGCCTATCAGACGTACTGCAATTCGATATCAATAACGATAATTCTATGTATGTGTATGTGTGTATATCTGTGAATTAATTGAGATAACGACACTTACGTTATACAATCTTACTGTAAGCGTAAGCAATTCGCGTACTGATGAATAAGTCTTTGAACCTCTCTTACTCATTATCAGCTCTGGACATATCAAATAACGTTAATTACGTTAGCAACGCAGAGATGAAGACCCGCGATATTTTAACCGTCAATTATTGCAAACTCGTCGTAGATCTGATCGCAACAATCGCAAAAATAAGGATTTTTCGAATGTCATTCATATAAGAATCTTGATTATATTTAAACATCATTACTGCTAATTTTTAATAAACATTTTTTTTATGTGAATTGTAATTGCAGTAAGAAGAAATGAATTTCTTTGTTTATATGTTGCAGCAGTAATAAGTCGGGATCTTGGCATCGCGGGCAAGATTCCCAGCGATCCAGCCCTAGCCCCAGTAGACTTCATCGCGTGCAGGAAGCGGCCACATCTCACACAGCTCCAGTTTCTGTAAGTACTTTAATCCCGCAAGGATGACATTTTTTCTGCGTCTAATAACAATAGCTCTGCAGGCTATTTATGCCAGAAAGAGAGAGAGAGAGAGAGAGAGAGAGAGAGAGATCAGTTGAATCAATGACATTATTATTGGTTGTGGCAATAAAAACTGATATTATTTGATAAATTATTCATTCGCATTTAATAAGAGAAATATCGATAAAAGTTTCAGTAATCAAATACTATTAAACGTACATTAAAAAATAAAGATTTAATCTGTTTTTTAAGAACTTGAGGAGATCAATTTAAAAAATGTTATATAATATGTTTTTTTACTTGTTTGAAAATCCCTGGAAAGTAACTCAGCAATTGGTAATAAAACGAATTTTCATGTTTCGTTTTCTCCGAGAAATTAATGCAACTGATTCCTAGGATGAAATTGATATATATATTTTATATCCAACGAGATACTATAAGAACTGGTTACACAACGATATGATAAATCATAGAATGACTATTTCTAGCGTATCCACGTAAACCTGCAAACTTACTGCTATACGATGGTTAAGTTAGTCACGCGTGAGACACACATTCTCGGGTTTAATTAAGCCGACCACGAGCGGCGCCGTTAATCTTCCGGGCTTTGGCGACATCCACGATATATGCGTAAGCCCAAGCGTAACGTGATGTCTAATTTCATTAATTTTTATTTTTTACATGTGCATATAAAAAATGACGAGAGAAAGATTTTCGGAGACAGAAATTCTCAATTCTGTCAATAACAGTACGTTAAGAATCCATTAATCCTCAACTTGAACGTATATCTCCATTTTTCACCGATTGAATTCGTAATATTTTTTCTTTTCGTGACATATTTTTAAAAAGGCTGTTCTTGACGGTAACAGTTTGATACATTTGATATATCCGATTACAGAATTATATAAGAATCCATCTACCTGTTCTTTATCGGCGGGATTTGCAATTTTCTTCTTTTCGTAACATATTCTTAAAGAGACTGTTCTTGATGGTAACAGCTTGGTGCATTTGATATACCCAATTACGGCATTATATAAGAACCCGTTTACCTGTTTTCCCAGAATTACGGGTTGATATACATTACGCTAATGCGATTCATTCGTCATGCGCTCCGGCTAGCTTTCCTTAGAATCCAATATCTCCGACGTCGCGTCAGGAAGCTGAGATACATTATCCGACGAAGCTATAATTTAAATATGCGACGAATATATTCGAACTTGTCACGGACTCCCGATCGATAATTACGCGGAAGTGATCATCGATCGGCGACACCATGAATAATGGGCCGCGTTGCGGATGACATTTCGGTCGTGGATGCATGCGTAGAGATGTATTCTCTGCGCTGCACGCCGCGCCTGCTGCACGCGACTGTAGTATACCGCGACTGGCTGCCAACAACCTGCATGTATCATCCGCAGTGACGACAGTGTGCGTCAATTCGTTATTAACGTCCGTCGCGACGTGTCGTTTCGTACTGACGCTATCCGGTTTACGGTGCGAGTTTGCGTAACCGAACGGAAACGGACGTTTCGAAGCGAGAAGTCTCGCTATGCGCTTTACACACTTTTAACAATGATATGCGCGAAATATTCGTACGAACAAAAGCGATCGCGCGCCTTGATTATTGTAGGTTGAACGCGCTTAGACATTTATCCAGGATAATTCGCGGAAAAGCTTGGAAAATAATTTCTCTCTGATGAACAGATTCCTTGATAAAATTAACGTGGACTTTCACGTAGCAAAAAGCAGACCGAGATCATAATTAACGACAGATTTTCGAGTTTTTGGGAGTATGTAAATGTTAAACGAAATTTCCATTGAAATAAAGAGCGTTTAACAAAACTCGATTCAAATTTCCATAATCCGGTTTAAATTAAATGCGATTATAATGAAATGTTTAAAGAATGCATGTCAACAATTGCAAGTCGCGGGAATGCAAATTTATTCATATATATATATATATATATACTCGCCGCATGGGAATCTTAATTAATAAAACGTCGCGCACAGTGGCGAGACAGCTGCAGAGATATAATCAAGCTTGGTGGCACGATAGCGTTTGCATCCCTTTCATTTTCCATCTAGCGTGAGAGCACACATAAAAGGCCGAATAGAAACCAACATGAAATCAATGCTTTTCATTATCGCGCGAATAAAGTATAATTTGCAACGATCCGCGCATTGAGTCGATAATGTGAATAGATCAATAAATTACAGCTGAGAAGAAATATTAGAATAATTATTATAACTGTCATTAATTATCATTTATACGCACTTAAACATTTAATATGTAAATAAAGGAGAAATTGTTTCAGAGAGCTTTTTTGGCTAAAAATACCACATATTCAATTTATCAAATAAATTATTATTAAACATTTTATATATCGTGATTTGTTATCGCTTGCATTTCTATAAATAATCATTCTTCATTTCCTAAATAAAAGAGTTACAAATAAATTAAAATTCTGTTATTTACGATTTATTAACCACGAAAATCAACAGCGTTAAGAAAATCGATACAACGATAAAACGAATCACCGATCTTAAATAAGACCAATTGCTTGGTGAGCCACATATAGCGAAGTTTAGCAATATTGAATATTGAGTAACCCGGTCAAAGCACCCTCGATATCGATTCTAATATAAAGGTATGAATGACCAAGCACATTCTAGTGCGTGCCTAGTCGAATCGTGGGAAAGATATATACGCAGCTTTCTCGGGTTATCAGTTATCATTACTAGTGTGCTCCTAAGCATGCTTCCTATGCGCACCTCATCTTGCATCTGAAAATAAATATGACCCCCTTGTCAGTCTATTGGTATAGACTATAGACAAGGGAAAGGTGGAACAGGCAAATATCTTATCGATAAATGAATTATATTGTTCGGAAATTATCTGAATGATCATCTAATACTTCATCAATTTGCTATTTGATTTGTTAATATCTTATTGCAGCCTCTGCACGACTACAGAACGAGTGGCCATGCCGGAAGAGAGAGAAGGCGAATTCCCGGTCTTAACAAAGCTCAACGGCGGATCAAAGCGTCCAGCACCCCGGCACTTCTAGATAGAAATCATGATAGGTAAGTGTGTATAAACTGACTTAGCATTAATATTCATGAATTATTTATCGCTATATTATCCTATAAAATCTGTAATTCGAATGCATTTTTTTTTTTTTTGTAAATTAAATAATAGAATAAAATATTTCATTTTCAATATAGATTAATATTCACACATTAAAGAGTTCGGTCCAATTTTTTAATTGTTATTAAAAGTGTGTTAATTTGTATATTATTGTGTATAGATTTCTAATGTATTTATCATAATCCCTTTAATTTCTCTCGTGATTGGAAGATTTCGGTGAACCTAAACAACGTATCACTGTACAAAAATTGCATCGACTTAAAAAAATCATCTTAGCTTACATTATACATACATAAAATCCTTCTGACGCGGAAACGTAAAAATATGCACATAAAAATGTTGCGTGGGTGGCAACCTCCCACCTTGTGCCCTCTTGGGAAACCGTATTTTCTCAAAAAGAGTTCAAAAAGAGCGACACGAAGGGTGGTCATGACAAAGGTGACGGTGAGAATTTTCATTCCGATCTCCCTCGACACGATGATATGTTGCAGCTATTCTGCCGATACATGTTTCCGCTTTTGCTCTTGCCCATAAATACTGCTGCCTTCGTAGCCGGCTTATGAAATCTATCCACTTTGTTCGCGCTTAACATATTGTACGATTCTGTTGAAATTGAACCTACAAGCAACATCGTAAATAATCAACCTTCGTATTGAACGCGACAGTTGACTGTATCGCATGGACTAATATTCCGGATACGTGACGTAGACGATAATGATATTCTTGTCAAAGCTGTGAATTTATTTGCCTAAAAAAATTTTCTCTGTGTATGTGTGTGTGTCTGTGTGCAAATATGCGAGTCGAATTATATGAATAAGAAATTGAAAAAGTTCGTGAAAGAAATGAAATAATTTATTGTAGGAGAGAGCGTACTTGAAACATCGAGGAGTTCTTCAAAGTTGTCAGGATAGCGATCTGTATACTCATTAAGACTTTTTAATATGCGTTCGAACTTTCTTTTTCTCTCTTTTTTTCTAGAAATCAAATATTGATATTATATTATTTAGTGAAATAAATTAATAATTTTATCTGCTTTGCGAATTCATTACAGTAATGATTTATTTTTTCTGTTTAAGTATTATTATGTTGCATATACAGAAAAAAAGACAACAATTTATTGTTTCTAATATCGGCACATTTTAATATAATCAACAACAAGTTATGCTAATCATAATAGATTAAAATTCAATTGGATAAATGACTCGATATTAAGTGTAAGTAAATTGGATGTTTTATTCGTTAATATTTATTTTATTTATCAAGATTTATCAAGATTTTAATAACCTGCAAATATAATTTATATTTCACGTAAATATTTATACAATATTACACGAAATTTGAATGACTCTAGCTGATCCTTGTGATTCTGATTTACGTCTCGATTTTCATAAAAAGTGTCAGGCGAGTAAACTTGAAGTCTATCTTCAGAAACACCTTGCCAAATATTTGACGAGAAGAAGTAGCGAAAGTCTATTAAAGATCGTGCATGCAGCAAAAAAATCGATGACACCGTTTTATTCGCTTGTCGAGAAAAGGGCACTCTTCAAAATCGTTTATTGGATGTCAGTCTCACCCACGACGAAAATGCCGAAATTGCAATAACGAACAGAAACTGCAAATTGAAAAAAAAAAGACGCGATGAAGTCCAGAAACGTATCAAAATATTAAAAACATTGGCAAGGTCTAGAAATTAAAACGAGGTCGATGTTACGGCAAGATAATTAGAAGATGTACATTGAAAGCGTTTCTTCGAAATAAATTGAAAACACAAAACGTTTTGCAATTTTATCGCGTCAATTGTTCGCGCGATTACATTTCTCTCGTTATCGCCGGTATTTTCCTAGAGAAAGAAACGGGACCTCCCAGAAGTGACTGTCAGAAAAAGATCTCCCACAGAAGAAAAAATGATTAAAAAATGTCCTGCTGATAGAGGACAAAGGTAGACCGCGTCAAAGGTTGTCTGTGATCCAGAAAGAGTGCCGCGTTTTTCGCGTTTTTTACCGCAATCTACCGATCTCCTCGTCGTATGTGTATATGTGCCTGTCGCAGAAAGAGAGATGTTTACCGAGGGAAGGGTGTGCGTTATTTCGAATGACCTACCTGGGGTGCATTGACATCTTTATACGAGCCCACACATATGCGTAACCGTAGAACACTCTAATTATAAAGCTGTATAGAAAACGCCCTTTCTTGGCTTTTTACCCAACCACTTCTTTCCTCTCGGTGAAGAATCGCCTCTTTTACTTCGCCGCTAAGAAGAGCTAGCCCTTTGATAAGGAATAAATTCAAGAGATACTTTCCCGCGCCTCTCGTAATCTTCCGCCATCATACGGAAGTTGATTAATTCCGCGTTACTCCCGACGTTGTAACGCTATGTAATAAACTGCGCTCGGGACGTACAACTACTCCAGTTTATTTCAGTATATTAATATTAAATGTTTCTCTCTCGCGTCAGAGAAGTGAAATGGTATGATGTGTAAGAGATTAAACAAATATTTCTAAGCGAATTTGACAGTACATTTTACAGACTCGAGAAATTGATCAAGTGTTCCGAAGAATTTAGAAAATTATTCAATAACGTATTATTTTTAAAATATAACTTGTATCTTTTTAATAAAAAATATAAAAATTATAAACTGTTGAGACATTTGATCAATTTCATGAACAACCGTATATATTTCCGTATCCATTGTGAAATTGTTTTTTTAGGTGACGTCGATAATATCAGAATTAGAACTATGTGTCAAAATGTCAGGATATTTAGTGCAGAATCGATTTTCCCAATTTTCTCAGAGACCCCACACAATTTAAACATTCTTATATACGTATAGACATCAAACGCTGCGTTTTCCGAACGCTTCGTTGGCGTCCTGCCGATTAAGAAAAGGACGAAAGGTAGGTCCTCTGTCACTACACGGATAAATGGTGCCTTTTGTGAACGCCGCCGAAAGAAAGAAGAGAAAAAAAAAAAGAGAAAGAGAGAAGAGAGGAGAGAGGGTGGAAGGCGCGGGGTATAAGAGGTCGTGCATCCCTCGCCTTATACCTGATGCGACCCGATGCAATCGATTCTCCGAAATCTGTTCCTAGAAGAGCTCATGGATCGTGTACGTTCGCACACACACGGTCGTGGATCCCTCGTACACCGAGAGCTCATGTCAGTCGCCGGTGGAACGTTGGCCACTGCACTTCCTGTATATGTCTCGCTTTCAAGCGGTTGCCAGATGCTTTTTTTTCAAAAGTTTTCATTGAGTGACCACGTCTCGCGCAAAATCCTACGCAGACAAATGATTTTTATTTCCATTTAGTATCATTATTTTCGACACAAAATATATTCTTTTTGTTTCGAGAAATTATCATGTATTGATTTTGAAATTTATATTGCTGTCGGGATTGTGCGCTGTATTCTCTTTTTTCGCAAACGATTCAATCGCACGTACGTTTACGTTATTGAAATCCATTAAATTTTAGAACGTTTTGAGATTTGGTTTATATCAAAGTGGCTTTTACGATAATATGACACGAGTCGTGACTGCGATGTAATAGAAAGTGACATCGGTGAGTGCAGGATGCGGCTTTATGTGCGGGGGATTACGCTCGCAGACAAGGAACGATAAAGGATTGGCACGAAAGGAAAGCAATCGTCTGTGACAAATATCCTTCATGATGTGGTGCGTGATTCCGATTAAACTGACTCAGACGATTACACGTCCGTCCATTGTGACACACACAATTGCTTCTCTAAAAAGTTATATTTAGATCGTTAAGACTTTTCTTTGTATAATTTGGAAACATTCAATCATCTTAACTTATTGTTAGACGCAGAATTATGAGACATGTATCTGTCGCTATAAATTTTTGGCAAAGATTTAAGATGTTAAATATTTATCGATGAGAGTTTCAAGGTTCTTGTAATTTTTAAATAATTTACATTTTCACAAATTAAATATATAAGAGATTTTCGGCCAATCACAAACTTTAGCAGAAAAATTATATTTTTTAGATAATTTTAAGAATAGATTTTATATTTTAAATTTTAATTTAGAAATTAAAAAATATATATAATATATATTGAATATTGAAAAAGTGAAATGTGTGAATGTAATTTTTCTCGACATCTCCATTAAGGAAAGATCAACCAAGAAAGTTTACTTAAAAGAATCTCTTAAAAAATTGGGACACCGTATATATGAAATTTCTTGTAAATTTTTAATTTTAATTTCAACAACAGATTTGTTGATAAATTGAACATTAAATTTTCCTTGAATATCATTGTTAGGCAGTTCGTGGGACGCGTTGTATACAATAATTCATTAACACAGTACTTCATTAACGTTGTGATATTAATAGCAATTGCGCCTCTAGCGTAGATTATTAAAATACCTACACTATAATAGTTAATACAATGAAAATACTTTCCTCGTAGAAAACACAACAACTTTCCTCGTAACAACCGCGAGGTGTGCAATTAAAATCATTAAATATTTCTTCGCGGCCTATTATAAACAAGTATATTCGCGCACAATTTTACTATATTAATTGCACCGAAACACTGCACCACGGGAGGATCGTATTACGAAAAATATATTTATACATTTAGCGCTAGGACGATGTAATTTGTACACTTGTTGGCGCGGAAGACAATGTCCCGACGTCGCAGGAAATAAAATTGCCGCGGTGGTAATTTCGCGAAAAAGAAACGCTAACGCAACTTCATTCGTAAAATGTTTGCGAAATATTTTGGCCGGTTTCCTCTTTCGCATACGCCAACCATGCGCTTCCGCTGTTCGGTTTCGGATAGTCACTTTGTCAACCACGGTCGCGCACGCATTCCCGTTGCACTTTCGACCGTGCACGTTCGTGATTTATCGATCCCGCATCTTCGTCGTGTCTTCCGCGCAGTGAGAAACGACGTTGAATTTTTATGCGAGACGCTTTATCTCGCGACGCAAGAACATGGGAGGTGGTTCGCGAAGCTGTCTCCTATCAATTTTTGCCGGGGACCATCGGTCGGTCTCAAATAAAACTCTACAAAAAATAGATAAAATGAGATGATGGATCGACGGAAATTCATTTCTATGAAATTGGACATCTAAATCAAAATCGAATATTCTTTATACAATGTAAAAATTTGCATCCTTTTATCACTTTTTATACTTTTTCTATATACGCTAAATGTGAAAGATATTTCAACTTTACGTTTCAGAATCCAGTCTATAATTTATTGGATTATAGTTTAAATCCGCTTTAGTTTCAAACGTTCAGAATTAATTCATTATATATAAGAAATTCATTTTCTTTTTTAATTCCGGTGACTCTCACGAGATTTAAAACGAATCGACAAAGTTAGACAAGAACGGGAATGAACTCGATAATTCCAGAATCAATTCCAGATATGGAAGATTGGAAATTTCTTGCTGTGAAAACTGAACCCCCGCCGATTCTCCTCTCATTTGACTTATTTTATTGAAAAATGAATAAAACAAAAATATAGAAAATTCTACTTGCAGCCGACAGTGGTCCGGCGACGAAGAGGACGATGGGGCAAGGAGAGGCCACGTGACGACCGAGCATCCCTTGGCCGAGGCCACGATTCCTCTGGTCAGCCATACCAGACTACAAGAGCCGTCTTCCGTCCTGAATGTCGCCAATGTGCCCACCGGCGGAAGTCAGAATACTGCGCATCGCGCTCAGAGCCAGCAAGAGAGCGTGTTGCAGAAATTCCGTAAGAGCTTCTCATTGAGGTTCCACAAGAAGGGCAGTAAGGAGAGCAACGAGGAATGTCCCGCGGAGGACAATGACGGCTCGGGGCCCTTGGATGAGGAGGAGGGCACGGAGACACCTCCCGTAACCTCCTCCGAGCAAATCAACCAGCACAAAGACGATTCTAGCAATGATCAGAAATTCCGGTTCGTATCGCGTCCCTCGCTCTCTTTAATACCTCGGGCATGATTTTAAATTTAGATCCTAAGGATATCGCGTTGTTATAGAAGCGCACATAATTTCCGGTAGGTAAACGGAATTTTTCATTCGTGCTTGAAGCATAGAAAGAGCTGGTCTCATACAATTTAATGCAAGATTATCATAAGGAAAAACAACAGGGTCATATTCATATTATTTCTACTGAGATCAATTTCTCGTGGAATGTTTATTTCACATTTTTCTGTATAATTCTTATCTAAAAGGAACTACTACAAAATTTTCTCTGTCAATCTTAATTTTAATAACTAATTAAATGACAGATCGAAATATTAATAGCTTGACTTTTTATGAAGCTGTATCTGATATTATGGAAAGATAATTCTTTATTTTCCCAAACATCCCCCGAGTATCCAATAAGATTAAATTTTATTCAACTTCGATTATATATAAATAAGTATAAATTGTCGAATTGAGTTACACGTGTTTGATATACAAGAAGTACAATACTCTAATAACATTTGTCTTGAGGAGAGAAGCTTGACTAGAACTTGACCGAATATGTTTAGATTCGGCCCACTCGTCTGGAGAAGTAGCAAAGAGAGGAAAAAAGGTAACAAGGCCGCCCGAAATGCAAAATGCAACAGTGGAGACAGCGGAATACAAATCGAGGTGAGAAAAAAGACGCGATTTCCTGCATTTCTTCAAATAACGCGAAAGCTCGAAAAGAAACATTCGAATGACATCTCAGAACGTTTGAGAGATTAAAATGGTTTTTGGCGTGCAAAATAAATCTTAGAGATTTAAAAAGATATCTTAATCTCTCTTTTTCAAATGTCCTTTAAATATTTTTTGAACAATTTAAACGATTGATATCTTTCGTGGCTCTTTCGTGCTGTTCGACTCAACGAAGAAAATGCTAACGTATGAAGGGAATAAATATCACCAACGTTTCGTACACACAAATGACGTAGATGGTATCTGGTGGAGCGTTGACTGGTGGCGGTAGCGGTGGAATGATGGGGGGTGGTGACAGCTCCGAGTCCCACGATACGGACGATGTTCCCGATGACACCGACAGCCCTCCAGCCCTTCGCAGGCGAGTTGCTGATAAATCGCGGCCCCAGTCCGAGCTCATCAACCAGATACTGATTGACAAGTTCAAGGTAAACTTTGTTCTTTTCCTTATCTCATTGCAGCTAACACAATTTAACGACTTATAGCAGTAATAATCACGCACGAGAAAATGTTTCAGCTCGTATAAAGACACGATCAATTCCTTGCATGAAAATTTTTAGCGTATTTCTTTTTTTTAATCGATCTCTTGTCAATTGCGGTGGCAAGGTATTTTATTTTTGTATTTTGAATCTGGTTCCTCTTGAATACAAGCGATAATTTACATTAGTTATTAAGGGGGCACTATCCGTTTGAAAGAAACGGAACTTTTTTTCAACACGTTGCTATATTTTTATTTTTTTAAATTTTGAAAAAATGCTTAGATAGCAGATAGCTATTAATGTCTAATAAAAAAAAACTTGTATTTTTAATTTCGGATATGATAAAGGAACGTTTTCATGCACACCGTGCAGTTATCTAAAATTTGCAAGAGCTCTACAAATATTCCCATAACTTTAAAAAGAAATTTTTTTTTAAACTGAAAATTTTTATTTAAGTATTTAATAATATTGTATTAATATTGTAAAGGAATTAAAAATTTTTATCAAGTCGCTGCAAAAAATCTAAAAATGTACTCATTTTTCGAGGCTTCAAACGGATATACCTCCTTAATAGAAACATGATAATCACACGGCGTTTATCGGATTTATGATTGTAACTGTTTCCTCTATACGACAGCATTAGTCATCTTTGTGTACGGTTTGACCACGTTCGCAAAGAGATTCGCTCACGCCGTTCTGCGATAGCCGTTTTTATATCACGAGCGCCAGGATACCAGAGAAGGAAACGCGCTCATCATTAGTTGATATAGAGCAACTCGCGCAGTCGTTGATTTAATTCCTGATGTCGTTATGTTCGATCTGAGCAATTTGCTTCATTTTGTGCACATTTAAATATTGCTTTATGTATTATTAATCAATCGCATTTTGCACAAAAATCAATTCTTACAATTATTGAATTTGAGGAATAATATTTGAAATTAATTATAGAACTAAAAGATTACATAAAATCTAAATACAAATTAAAAATATAAATTATAAAATTAAAAATTAATTTTAGAGAAGATAATTTTATTAATCCAACACAAAGAGAAAAAGAGAGAGAGAGAGACCCACGTTATTTGGATAAGAACTAAATAAAAACGTCAAGTGCACTTGTGATATACACGTGAGATTAAACTTTTAATTCCTTATTATTTTGTTGCTGATAATGCATGAATATGCTGTTATATTCGTCAAGTATTGCAGAAAGAAAGAGGAATTCGCTTAATCTGCGCATTCCATTTTCGGAGCGACAAATTAATTGATCAACGGATTGAGCGCGTGGCTCGCAATCTCTAACAGAATTCGCGCGATTGTTCCAGGCGGATCTGCAAAGCCGCGCATCGCGACACAATCATGTGCGTCGTACGAACAGCGATTTAGGAGGCCAGAGGCTGCTCCAATGGGACACCAGGTCGGGATATGTTCACAATTATCGTAGGATGCTGTCAACTCCGTCGCCGATCAAGACGAGGCCGCCCAGGCTCAGCCCGAGGCACTCTTCCCATGATATCGTTACGCTCAGAAGGTGCGTTCAATTACCGCAAATGCGTTTAATGTTCAAGCAACCCTTGTCGCGAACGCCTCATTAAACCATCGCCATCTGCGAACTACTTACGGCCCCTTATGACGGCTGGGGGAAACCCAGATAATCGTTGCGTTTGGACCCTCGAGATATATTTTTGTTAGTATTTCACTCGAAAACTTTTAATAAGGCAATATAAATTTAATAGAAGAAATTTGTAATATAAAGGATTGAAATACTCTCGAAGCAATTTTCACTAATGAGAGATTGAACAATTAATCGAATTCTATTAGCAAAACTTTAAGAATTTTTTAAATCATTTTTAAAGCTATATATATTAAAATTTTTTTAAATTTATGCTATTTATAAAAAAATCCGTACAACGTTTCTTTGGGTTTCCAGAATCGAGATAAACATGAGCTATCACTGCAAGTATGAAAAGCTAGCAGTGTCGCAATAAAGAGGCAATAAAAGAAAAAAATAATAATAAAGAGACATATCAAACGCTTATTAACTTCGCTCTCTTTAGCCGCACGGCCGAACTTTCTTTAGCCTGACGCGCTCGCTGCTTTTTTTATTTTCGAATCAGTAACAATTTTGACTTCCTCTCACAAACGCGACACTTATATCGTAATTCACATCTCGAACCAACAAACCCCTGAAAAGTAACTGACAACTTGGGAAAACTGAAACTCTTTGTTCTCGAACCTTTCCAGTAAATCGAGGGAGACTAGTGGTAGGTAGATGGGTATTATAACAAACCACCTTCTCTCTTAATCTTTCCTCCAGTAAAAAGTTGATCTGCCACGCGTAACATACGTATATATACCCTGTCATGTTGTACTATATATATATATACATATATATCTATATACATATTATACCTACCTACTGTAATTTGTTGCTGAATGTTGTACCGATATGCTTAATACCTGAATACACGCTTTTGTTAACCTTTTCGTCCGATGCCGCACGTTAACGCGGTAATAGCGGTAAAGCGAATTAATATCGAATTAATGTTTTCTTTTTTTCCTGCGCTCCAGTAACGCGAAAGGGAGGAGTTCTCGGACAAATCTGAGACGCTCGCTTAGCCAGCCACTGGGAATCAATCAGCTCTCGCCATTAATGCGCACCAAAACTACAGGTGAGTGTGTGTTTTCACATCACTATATTATTCTCTTAATTCAAAGATAGACTTTGAACTCTTTAATGTAGATCACGTTCTTTTTGTTTTGCCTACCAAGCACATGCGTAAACCATTCTCTTATCGCGTTTGGAGAACGCCAAGTTGCACGTTTCTCGCGTTTTGAATCAGCAGTTGTCGTCATATTCTCGAAAATATTTATCTACTTGTAAATTAATTCTGCAAATCTTTAGATTGTCACTATACAATATATATATACATATAAATTTAATCAACATAATGTAACATGTGTAATGTAAAAAAATAAATAAGAAAGAAAATTTTAAATAATGATGGAAAAGTAAAATAATCTTTACCAATTTTTTATATTCTTTTGTCTCGAAAAAGTAATTTCATGCAATAATCGAAATCATTAGATCAATATTAAAACACATTTGCTGGGTAGACAGATTTTAGACGCCAGTAGAAAACTTTTTATAATGACGTCTAGTGCACAGTGTACTAGAGAGATCTCTGATTTCTCTCTAGACATCACCTTGAAGAGTATTCAGAGCATGCATTCCCCCGTAAAGACATTGTTCAGACATTCACACTGTGTTATCGTCGAATGCACCCTTGTAAGAAAAAAAGAAAGAATTTGCGAGAGTAAGAAATAGGAATATCCCTGTATAATTATCGTACTGATGATTTCCGTGTCCTTGTAAAAACGTTGCTTCGTGTGAAAACGCTTCTGTTTTACGAGTAGTAAAGAACGAGTTTGCCGGAGAGAACCTCGTAAGAACACTACTCCGCATTCTCGCTTTCGAGAGAGGCGTCGTCTCTCATGGGTGCGATCAATTCGCGTATATCCGAGGTTAACTAAATTTTTAGGAGGTACTCCGGCGAACTCGATTACCATCTCTCGAGAAATCTCATGAAAACTGTTTCATTCTTTTCCCGCTCACGCCTGCACGGTGGACGGTTTTTGGCCGGAGATCACGTGCTTGTTGTCGCAATAACTTCCAGAGGAATGCTGACAAGCGAAAATCCAGCGGAATATCGTTTACGTTACAGGATATTTTCTGCAATTATTTATCGATTGTCGCTCTAATAAAATTTTTGTAAGAATTAAAAGAGGGGCGGGGGAAGACATTCCTTTAAAAAAGCCAAATCTTTGACATCTGTCATTTTAGGGAGAGAATTTTGGAATATGTATGTCTCAAAAACGTAGCATAATCACGTGTATCAATTAATTATTATTTTTCTTTTTACTTGTATTTAAGTTCGAAAATCGGATCAACATTCGATTGGGGAGATTTGTGTGCTTCGCATTAAGACTAATAGATTTATATATATATATATTTTTTTTTTCACCTTGATTACAATGAAATTTTCTATTTTTAAAAAAATAGGCGCGAGATTACCCGGTGGCAATGTGCTATCCGAGGACGAGCAGGATGGAAGAGCCGGCACATCTGACGACGAGATGATGTCCGACTCCGAATCCTCGATCGCTTCCTTGACGGATAAGAAGAAATCATTCGAGCAGACAATGGACGAGGAGATCGTCATCTTGGCCGAGGCTGTTTGGGACCACGTGGCGATGGAGCCGGAGGAATTAGCTTTTCGCGCGGGGGATGTTATCGACGTCCTTGATACGTTAGACAAAGATTGGTGGTGGGGCAGCTGCAGAGGAGAACATGGGTGGTTTCCGGCAGCTTTTGTCAGGGTGAATATTTTTGAATGAGAATTTGTTTGATTTTGAATCAATTATGTCCACTACGCGCCTTTTATTTCTAGAGAGTATAATCCTAAATTAGTATAATATCATAAATTATTTCTATTTCCATTTTTTCTATTTTATATATATATATATATATACATATATCTCTTTATATATATAATCTATTATTTATCTCTCTGCCTTTTACATTATTTTAATTTTTTATTCATGATTGATTAAATAATATAATAAGAATTTGACTAAAATAAATATGTCTGCAGCTGCGAGTGAGTCAAGAGGATACGGTAGAAGATTGTTTGGCCGCGATAGCCTCAGGGGGATCCTCGGGCACTCAGCTGAGAAGACGTACGAGCGTTTCCTTGCTCTCAAACGAGCAAGTGAGAACCAGCGTGGTCCGCGAACTCGTCCAGACTGAACGCGACTTCGTCAAGGTCCTGCGTGATGTAGCCGAAGGCTATATCGCGGAATGTCGCAGGCGCACGGACATGTTTACCGAAGAGCAGATTGAAACGATCTTCATCAACCTCGAGGAGCTCTTGGACTTTCAGTCGGAGTTTCTGAAAGATCTCGAGGCTTGTATCGACTGGAACGCGCCGCACAAAAGCTGCGTCGGCGAATGCTTTCTCAATCATGTTAGTAGTATTATTGAATTTACTTTTTTCTTTTTCTTCTCTAATAATTCCGTACTTCACGATGAGACCAATATGTTTTTAAGTTTTTGCATTTTGACTTTCTTGAAAATAAAAGAGTAAAAGAGTGTTGCTGATAAAAGGGTGTTCGAGATGTTAAAGAAATCACTTTCTACAATTTCACATACGTTTCGAATTCTCGAATATTTAGATAAATTTAAAGGACGAGACGCAAGCGTATTGTTATGATTCTTTTAGAGAGCGGGTTTTCGCATGTATTCCGAATACTGCAACAGTCATCCGATGGCGACAGCGACTCTACAGGAGCTCTACCAGCACAATCGTTATAGCAAATTCTTCGAAGCCTGTCGGCTAATGCGAGGCCTCATAGAGATCCCCTTAGATGGGTATCTATTGACGCCCGTCCAACGAATATGCAAGTACCCCCTTCAATTGGCGGAACTACTGAAGTATACGAAAACCGATCATCCAGATTATCACAAGATTCAGGAGGCCTTGGAAGCGATGAGAGGCGTTGCAGTACTCATCAACGAGAGAAAAAGGCGGATGGAGAGTTTGGAGAAATTGGCCGCGTGGCAAATGCGCGTAGAAGGTTGGGAGGTGCGTTACTCCTCGAGATTGTAGAGATAAAACTATCTTTGAAATTCGCCTGCGTTTCGGATCATCTCGGTAACGTTAATAAGTGCGAATCTTTTGTTAAAGCAATTATTGAAATGCATGTTTAATATCGATAATAATCGATCACAGGGTGAGGATCTCATAGAAGTTTCGTCGCAACTGATTTATCAAGGTGAGGCGATGAGAGTGAAGACTGGCATGTGGACGAACAATATCACGCTGTTCCTTTTTGATCATCAATTGGTCTATTGCAAGAAAGACATTCTTAAGCGCAATACTTATGTCTACAAAGGTCGCATCTATCTCGACACCAGTGAGGTCATCGATGTACCCGATGGAAAAGGTAACGAACTATTAAAATGACATTTAACTTTAACTATTGAAAAATGTTTCTTACACAATAAAAATGACAGCAAATTAATGTAGTTTTCGAAAATTTTCTTTTATATTATAGCAAGTGATATTATCAAATAATTGAGAGATATAAGAATTGCTAATATGATACTGACTGCAATTCGTAATAAAGGTCAACGATCAATTTTATTCGTAGATCTTCAATCGGGGGTGACAGTGAGGCACTGTTTGAAAATATATAGTTGTGTCCGGGACAAGTGGTTGCTTTTTTGTTGCCGCACAGCGGAGGAGAAACGACGGTGGCTAACGGCGATGGCCGAAGAACGAAGACTAGTAGCCCAGGATAGAAACGACGGATTAGAATTTCCAGCGGCGGCCCGACAGCTCGCCAGGCTAGCTGCTAGTAGGCAGCAAAATAGGCCGCCGATCAAACCTCGCAGTAAGCTTGCTACGTGCATATGTACACTTATCGCGTCTGTTCAGCTAATTCATAAAAGAGAATCTCCCTCCTAAACTATTTCTTCGCTTTATATTAAAGCTAATTTAATTTTAATTTATTTGATTTTTATTAAATTGATATTAAATTGATAATATTGCAGATAAAACGTATAAGAGGGAATCAACGTACGAAATGCCGACTATGATCGCACAAGGCACCACCAACTCGCTAGGAAGGAAGGTTGGCACCTGGTTCACGTTCGGTAGCAGCAAAAAAAGCACGCGGCTTCAACCGTCTTGAGACAGGCCTACCTTCGTACCGTATATTGACCTGTAAAACTGCGACTAACGGCGCTGTATCATCCTATCGGAATTTTGGCATGAAATGTTCTTCAATATTGATTGTTTAGAAACTTTTTTGAGCAATCGTTCAAAAAGATCCTCATTATCAATCGATACTTTAATCAGGGTAATATTTTTCATTTCGCGATAGATTGAATCGTACTATTCTCCGTGGGTCGATGAACGATCCATATTTTGATCGCTAGAATTTCGTAGCACCGAGGACAAACAGCGTCTCGTCAAATGTACGGTACGAAGGTATTTAGATAACTCAAAAGTGAAAATTTTGTCCTACAAAATACACCTTTTCTTCTCAAGTAGGAAAAGCAATTGCCATCGATTCCATGATCATAGCCTGTAGAGAGCTGCATGACGATCCAAAAGCACGAAAAACTTCAACGATCTTTCATTCACTGCCTCTCTCACGAAAACAGGTATTTCTCTACAGGGTTGGAAAAGTTACTTTATAAAAGTAACTCGTTATCGTTACCGTTCTTTTTTCTATAAAGTAACTCGTTACTGTTATTCGTTACCAATTTTAAAAAGTAACGAGTCGTTACAATTTTCGTTTTTTTTTTATATTTAATACAAGCTTTACGTACAATTTTTTTAAATATAAGATCAATATGTTCCTTTATATGAAAATTGTACCGAGTAAATTCGAAAAAAGTAACGATAGAAGTAACTGTTAAATTCGTTATTCGTTAACGAAATTACTTTTTCCGTTACAAACAAAATTTGTAACGCCGTTACCGTTACAGTTACCGAAAAAAATAACTGTAATGGTAAAACGGTTACAAGTAACGTGTTACTTTCCAATCCTGCTTCTTTACCAAACAGATAGTATCATTATCCAAATTAGATACTTGCAAATGGATTAATGAAACACGATAAATTAATGAAAATCGTTCATTATGTCTATAATCTGGGAATCAGGAATGTCTAAATCAGTGATTCCCTAACTGTGTCAGGTCCGAAACTAATGTTCGATCATTTTTCATATGATATTGTTCTCGATGTGACGTTGTCAATCTTCAGTTCGAGAACCATTATCCAGAAAGACGTTTCCGAGAAGAAAGAATTTGTTACAAGCCGAGAGGAAGGTGTATAATCGATTTTGTAGATGCTTAACATTAGAAACTATCGTTAATAATAGCAGACACGCGGATAGATTAGAGAACTAGAGAAGTAAATAGTGAATATATAAAGTCAATAGCGGGCTTTTAAGGTACTAAAGAGAAAGTACTAGTCACTCTTTACATCGCGAATTGATGATAAACGCCGATGAACCATAATAGATATGTATTGTTACACGCGCAATCGCTTTTTGGATCGAGCGGCTATGGATGGTACGTATCAAATGGCTGTATTTTTTATTATAATCGAAAGACTGACGACCGAGATGCTTCTTCAGAAGGAAACCGGTTGTAATCTTGAGAGAGAAATGCGACGGGATCGATTAAGAAATTTCTAAGTTGAATTCGTCACATAAACTTTGTTAAAATCATTTGATTATTTTGAGAGTGTTATCGATCAATTTTATGTAAGAGAGATGCAACGAGAAAGCTCACCATAATATCACATTCAATTCTGTGCAAGTGTTAGCAAGTTCAATCAGGAAATCCGTGTTGATTAGTTTTGCAAAAAATTCTGATTCGCCGATTCCGCACACCACTTTTCTCTCAACGAAAATGTAGATGTATTTCTTAGAAGAAATCTCCAGCGCGCGAGCTATACAAGGTAACTTACTGCCTAACTAATGTTCGTTATTTCGCATCATAATTATAATACTCATAGTAGTTTGTACGGAGTTACGATCGGCGAGGAAATAGAAAAAAGAGACGAGAAGATGAAACAAGAGCGAAAAAAAGAAAAAAAATTTTGTTTCCGCAAAACAACACAGCAGCAGTATTATACAGATACAACAGATGCGATTAGATTAAATATTCGCATATCGCGCCTCCTTATTCGACTGCGATACGAAGCCGCGAGTTTCTAAAAAAAGCAAGAAAAGAGGGAAAAAATGATAATCGAGAGAAGATCTTTCAAGTTTTTCTACTCTTGTATAGAAAAGAGAATCAGTTAGCCCAACAGAAGAATTTCTGTGTTATAATGATATGCATATATGTATGCAGTCTCTTGGCAAAATGTTCGATCTACCAATTTCAACAATTTAATCACGGATCCTGAAAGTTTCTAACACTGCCAATAAGTTTAAAGAAATATGTCTTCGTTCGTTAGAATTATTTGACCCGATCTTTAATAGAAAAGGAGATCGGTACTCCAGATTTTCTCTATTTCGAAAGACTAAAGTATTTTGTCTTTTTGACGTTTGCGTGGGCGAATGTGTGGTACAACTTTGGGCGAGAAGAGATATTTACGTTTTGTGTAACATACAGAAAGATATATTTTTACTTGTTTCTCGAGACAACGCGTAATTTACTATATACGATGAGGACAATATAATGATAAAATGAATGGATCAAGATTCCTACTGTACAGAGAGATCATTAGCCTGTTGATGTTTAGATTTAGGAGAGACGCAATTTGTTGCTGGACCCAACTCATTTCAGAGTTATTTTTATAGGAAAGACTACTTATTGGTTCTTGAATGTGATTTTTCTTATAAGTATTGCTATTATACACTTGGACCGCTTTAATAATGGCCAACGTAAGTATAAGAAACAGATGTAACTCGTTATAGAGATTAAAGATAAATAGTGAGGATATCCCGAACAACGTGAAAGTCTACAAAAAACATTTCTTGGATGTTCAAGTAACGTCTTTTAAATTGTTTTACAAGCGTCTTTCAATGACGTTTGTGTTGTCTTCGGGCGCGATATCGAGTAATGCACGATTAAGCACAACTTTCCACACTCATGAGAACTATACTTGCGATTTCACGACAGACAAGTAATCGAAATACGTGAAAGTTCGTACCTCGCACTCACAAGCTCCCATATATTGGCAAGTGAATAACATATCTTACATGATTGATTAATTTATATTTTGGAGGATACTATCTATCCCCGCTAGAAATTGTTACTTTTGGAAATCTTCAGGCAAAATCTGCACAAAACTTAAGGAAATGCGCTTTGAAGCAATAAGTATTGTACTAAGCGTTATTGTTATGATAATTTAAGCTGTTATGTACACATAATGCGGTTATATAAACGTATATTTTCCCTGAGATTTGATAACGATAACCATACGACATACATACCCTGATGACAAGGGAAAAGTGAAGTTCAGTTTTTTTGTAGCGAAATCTCTAACTACACTAATGATCTAAGAAAAAAGGCACAGAGATATCATATGTATCGCTCTGTTTTCTGTACATATATATATAAATGTATTTTGCAAATGTAAATAACATAGATCTATTCATTAGAAAAAACAACTTTAACACGTTTTTTGTAGCAATTAAGTGAACTTTACTATTAAGCAATATATCTGACGTTCGCGTATAGTTAATTGTTGATTCAACCAATATCGTTTTGTATATTTGTATATCTCTCTAATTTAATGATTTCGCTGATGAATTGTCATTGCGAAACAAATTGTTCGTGTTATAAATAATTATTGTTTATGATATGTACAGTAGAACGTTATATGATATGATTGTCATTATTTTGCAATTATGAATATGTGTGTGTGTATATATATATATATATATCACATATATATGTAAATAAACATTTTGTAACTATTACACTTTATTCATGTTTTCTTTCTTATTATTTCTTTGTATAATGTGATAAAAAAAAGATATATTTATACTGACAAAAGATAACACTAATAAAACGATTTTGCTCTGTCCAATGTTAATCCTAATCTAAGTACCAAGTATAAATGCATTGCCCTGCTTTGAAATTTGGACTTTTAATTTTGAATTTTCATCTTTCAATTGACTTACAACTTGTCGAAGAGTCTTAGCTTCTTCTATCAACTGTGCATTTTCATCCATACTCTGGGATAGTTTTTCTTGAGCTTCTCTTAATTCGGTAATGTACTCACAAGCTCGTGCTAGTATACCTCCTTTGCTCTATAAACAGATTATAGGGAATCATCATTATAAACAATAATAGAAAACTTATTTTTATCAAATTGTTGATACAATAATTTAAAAATTTGCAAATATACTTGTGGTTCAAAATTCGCTTTTGCATCTCCCTCTTTATTAACATTTTGATCACAATCTGCCAAGAGCTTCCCTAATTTAGAAATCCAATTGTTAATTTTATCCCTTCTGCGTCTTTCAACTTCATTGTGTGTTACTCTTCGCCTTTCATCCCTCTATAAATATAATATAACTTTAATTTTTTTAATAGATAAATAACAATAATATAAAATACCATACAATAATATAAAACAATTTACTTTTTTTACGTTTGTGATAATATTCTGGGATCCTTCTATCTGCAGTTTAGTTACACGTGGTGTGGCAGCTCTTGCAGACTCCGACGTTACAACATCATTGCCATTGCTGAGTACGTAGAATTGTCCATTTAATGGAGAAGCCACAACCTGTACAGTATTGTTTACAGGGGTGGCTATCGAAACCTCATTGTTCTCTCTGTGATTGTTGCTGACTTGCATAACTTTATATGCCACTGTATTGTCACCTCTGTTTATTGCATACAGATGATATTGTACGTTGTCATCATCAGCCTCTACTTCAGCATCACAGTCCACTATTTCTGCCTCTTCCAAAACTACACCAATAGCTTCGTCGTTCATTGTATTTTCATCTGCACTGTAATACAAATATTTTGTTTTGCCAAGAGAAAGAGAGAGCTTATTTATAACAAAAAAAAACAAACAAACTTATAACAGACATAAATTCTGTTTCTGAGAGAATTAAAGAATATATATATTTACCTTTCGTCAATGGTATCGATGTGATTAGCAACTTCCATGTTAATAAAAAGCAATAAACATTCTTATGATTATTAATTTAATATAATATATATGACAATATATTAGGAGATGTATATAAAGAATTATAGACGACTTTATAGATGAGATCTTATTAAAGACCGATAATTTCTTGCGGAAATTTATGGAAATTTGCACTGGTTTGTACAGCGTGAAAAACTCTGTGTTGCTCTATGTGCACTTCACTAGCGTCCTCACTAGGATAAGGTCATACTTAGATTATTATGAAAATACATTTAACCGAAAATGTCTTATTGCGTAAAAACAAAGACTTGACAAATTAAAATTGTCAATCTGCAATAGGAGAAGAGCAATTGATCGCTATATAAGTGACGTTTTTTTTTTTAAATTAAAGGAATTCTGTTTTATCAACGGAATGAAGTCACGCCGCCGTTTTTCATAAGACACTTTTTCTAGGTGGTACAGTAGCGTCAACTAGATCCATTTTAGAACCGGCGGAACTACATGGCCAGATTCACTTTTCGGTGCTACGGTAAAATAACCGGTTGATACATGTGTGTGTTAGATCCATAATTGTGGATCAAAATGGCGGAAAAATATTATGGATTTATTAATATTTTATCACGGTGTGCGTGATGTTTTGTCATTCTAGTATATATTACGAACAGCGATAATAAGTTATTATTGAAGTATTTTTATGTATATACGCATGTGACATAAAATAAATTTTCTTAAATAAATTTTCTTAATCATTTTCTTCCTAATTTTTAAATATATAACGTGTAGAAAATATTTACAATAAATTGCTTTTACTTTTTTCTTATTCTTGAAACAAAATGTATAAATACATACCTATTTTTGATCAAATATATATTCATCGTAAATTGGGTTTAATCACTCTCAAAGCGATTAAACTTGCTTCATTCAAAAATGCTGATAAGTTACTGCTGGTAGGGTCACCCATGCCGGACAGGTCGAAGGGGAAGAGTTAGACTAAGAGAGATATACTGTAGTTATATTTTTTATATTAAAATTTTTAAATAAAATGAGAGTGAAAAAGACAATAATACAGAAAAGGGAGTTTTAATCGTTTTTGAAATTAATGTCGTATAAATACATATCTATATGTTCTGAGAAAAGTATTATTTTCGCATTTCCGGCCTTTTAATTAAAATTCTGAATGGAATTCCACAAAATAGAAAAAACACTTAACATTTTATACGTTAAAAAAACAATATTGCACAAGATATCGTGATTTTTTGACATTTTATGACATTTTTCGAAAATCTAACAGCTGATAGTATCACCGGCGATCATTGAAAAAATTAATTAACGCTGTCAACAACTAAAACTCCTTAAAAAACAATAGAACGGGGTTAAAACTATAGAGAAATATAATTAATTATGCTTATATAAATTTGTTTATAATAGCTTTTAATATGCATCCAACTGAATTCATAAATTAAAAAATTAATTGAACATAATCATAAAAAAAAAAATTAATAATAAAAAGTTATATAAATTAAAAGCATGATTTGATAATGTTTAAAATACTTAATATTTTTCAAGAATGAGAAAAAAGTGAAAGCAATTTATTGTAGATATCTTTTACACGTTATATTTCAAAATTAGGAAAAAGAAATTATTAAAAAAATAAATTTAAGAAAATTTATTTCATTTTACATCCACGTATACATAAAAATACTTCAATTTCATTATAATTTATTATCGCTGTAGTATATACTAGAATGACAAAACATCACGTGCAGGTAATAAAACATTAATAAATCCATAATATTTTTCCGCATTTTCGATTCACAATGTGTTTAGCACGGACGTGCACCAACCGGTCGTTTTACCATGGCATCAAAAAGTGGATCTGGCCATATAGTTCCGCCGGCTCTAAAATGGATCTAGTTAGCGCCACTGTATCAGTTAGAAAAACGGTCTCACGAAAAACGGCGACTAGCCCCTCATGTTTTTCTCTGATAATACATACAAGTGCAGTTATAAGCGCGCAAAATTCGAAATCTAGCATATTAAAATTGTATTATTAATTATTTCTAGTAATAATAAAATGATCTATATAATCTTACACATTTCTGTATTATTATAATATATGATATATATAATGACAAAATAAACATATTTTATAATAGCAATAAAATAAAAGATATTCTTTTGTAAACTTTTTTTTAATTCTGAATGTATTTTTAATACACGTATATAATAATTTTATATCCTTTATTTTTTTTATTTTTTATTAGAATTTTAGCTCTGAATTAAATCGCGTAAAACGTAAACATATAGATATTATTAAAGAAGAATCAGAATTAGTTTCTGGATTTAGTATGGAGTATTTTAGTGTAGTAGGTTAACATTAATTTTTTTATCTGGGTATAGAATAATTATTTTTTTATTAGTTAATGTTATTAATAATAGTTCAACTTTTTGTTATATTTTTTAATCTTAATGTTGTTTTTAAGTTTATATTTTTTTATGATATTATTTTCTAGGTTTATAATTTCTTTTTATAATATCACGCGGAATAATTTCAAGAAATTTATATATTTTATATTTATTAAATTACATAATACTTACTATCAAAATCAGGAAAAAGGAAGATCCAACTGAATTCATAAATTAAAAAATTAATTGAACATAATCATAAAAAAAAATTAATAATAAAAAGTTATATAAATTAAAAGCATGATTTGATAATGTTTAAAATACTTAATATTTTTCAAGAATGAGAAAAAAGTGAAAGCAATTTATTGTAGATATCTTTTACACGTTATATTTCAAAATTAGGAAAAAGAAATTATTAAAAAAATAAATTTAAGAAAATTTATTTCATTTTACATCCACGTATACATAAAAATACTTCAATTTCATTATAATTTATTATCGCTGTAGTATATACTAGAATGACAAAACATCACGTGCAGGTAATAAAACATTAATAAATCCATAATATTTTTCCGCATTTTCGATTCACAATGTGTTTAGCACGGACGTGCACCAACCGGTCGTTTTACCATGGCATCAAAAAGTGGATCTGGCCATATAGTTCCGCCGGCTCTAAAATGGATCTAGTTAGCGCCACTGTATCAGTTAGAAAAACGGTCTCACGAAAAACGGCGACTAGCCCCTCATGTTTTTCTTTGGTAATACATACAAGTGCAGTTATAAGCGCGCAAAATTCGAAATCTAGCATATTAAAATTGTATTATTAATTATTTCTAGTAATAATAAAATGATCTATATAATCTTACACATTTCTGTATTATTATAATATATGATATATATAATGACAAAATAAACATATTTTATAATAGCAATAAAATAAAAGATATTCTTTTGTAAACTTTTTTTTAATTCTGAATGTATTTTTAATACACGTATATAATAATTTTATATCCTTTATTTTTTTTATTTTTTATTAGAATTTTAGCTCTGAATTAAATCGCGTAAAACGTAAACATATAGATATTATTAAAGAAGAATCAGAATTAGTTTCTGGATTTAGTATGGAGTATTTTAGTGTAGTAGGTTAACATTAATTTTTTTATCTGGGTATAGAATAATTATTTTTTTATTAGTTAATGTTATTAATAATAGTTCAACTTTTTGTTATATTTTTTAATCTTAATGTTGTTTTTAAGTTTATATTTTTTTATGATATTATTTTCTAGGTTTATAATTTCTTTTTATAATATCACGCGGAATAATTTCAAGAAATTTATATATTTTATATTTATTAAATTACATAATACTTACTATCAAAATCAGGAAAAAGGAAGCGTATGTTTTGCATATATTATAGTTACTTCTGTTAAATTTCTATATTTCCGAGAATATTTTAATTGTTAGAGAAATCACATATGTATGTATGTTTATGTG